GAGTGTGAGGACTTCCAGGGCTCCTTGACCGGAGGGGGCGGCCGGGGGGGCGGGTGCTCACTGCACTCCACCACAAAAATGGCAACTGGCACCATGCTCAGACCATAACATTGGGGGGCAGCCACTCCCAATTCAGTAGGTCCCTATTTATGAGCTGATGTTTGCCTACTTAACACAAAGCTATTTTTCAGTTCTTCAGGCAGACTTTTCAGTTCCTTAGAGAAAACACCTTGTAAATGTGAGTGAATGTGAACTGTTTTCGCTGTATTCAGTGAAAAACACCCGGAAAGAGACTTATCACTTATGCCCTATTTTCAATGTTGCTGTCATTACAGCCTGTTAGCAGCAGGTGGAGGAAATCGACGGACTGCTAACGTGGTAGCACATGGATTTGCCAACCTTTTTATTCTAGACAAGAAGAGCCTCCATGAAATCTTGGTGCACTATCCTGACTCCAAAAGGATCCTGATGAAGAAGGGAAGGTGTGTGTTTGGCAATTCCAACAAACCAATTCTTTTTTGGATACGGATTTAATAATTTTGACCAATAGACACTTACATACATTCCTTAAGAAAAATCAAGTTGTTTATTGCTGGATGTGCACTTATTCTGATAACTTTTGGTGGAATTAATGGATTTCTCATAGCAAGGTGGCCAGTCCCTTTCCATGTGGTATTAAAACCCATAAATGGTTCAGAAGCATTAATAGGACTCCATGTACCCAACCAGAACTTCGCCTTGTCATGCAAAGGAAACAACAGGATACTGTGCAATGGTTGTCAGTTATGAACCAGATCTTTAAACATGCAGTTGTGTGTATATAATTCGGTCTACAGATACATATATTTTGCAGCCATAAATTGATGAGCATTTCTGAAAGCTATAAGACATGCACAAACAGGTTTAAAGTTCAGTCTGACAAGAATGTGCTCAGACTTGGGCGGTGTGTGGGGGTTGGTGCACAGAGATTCCAAAATGTATTTAAGTGTCTCCAGCTTGTTTTCACTGCGCCTCTATAATTGTCTACTTCCCCTTGGGTCTGGGAGGCCTGGGAGCAGTCTAAGTGTTGCTCAGTTATTTTCAGCTGCACATTTAATAATGATCCAGACCTCAATACATTTTAAAACCCTACAACTGTGCTATTAAATTTTATAAAGGTCAGTAGAAGCAGCAGTCCAGCTATGAACAAATCATGAAAACAAGGTCTTGTAGACTGCGTTCAGAAAAGACTCAACTAAGTCCAGCAATACAGCACTGGCAAACATTTCATGCTTTTATAATGCTTGGACTACTAACCTAGTGCTATTTACTGTGGCTTGGGGTTGGTATAATGGCCCAGGCACTTCTCAACTTGCATCTACCAGACCCACAAACACTCCAAGAGAAAACAGAGAAAAACAAAGGAATGACATTTTAATAAGGGAAAAGTTCCTATGGTTGGGTCTACTGCGTTGAGCTCCCTCCAGTCTTACAATGAATAACTCCCACTTATCCCACTCAGTCACAATTGCTTCCCAGGAACCAGAGCAGTAGAGGTAAATAGCTAGTATGAAGGAAGGCCCCCTGAGGACTGGACTCTGGCTTATAATGCAGTGGTGATGAGTGACAAATGAGATAAATTAATTCCATGTCAACTGGGGCTGATTCAGGCCCCCCAGCAGAATAAAGAGCAAGCTAGTTTTCAGCAAGCTAATACCACATTCCAAAATTTAGCTGAAGTTAAGAAGGGATATGTACTTAGCCACTCTTGAGTCCATAACATAAACAAGTATCTGGAAAAGTTACAAGTGAGATTCTTGCTTCCCAGAGGACTATTGCTCACAGACTGAGCCACCAAGCTTAAATGGTGGACAGGAAGATGGGGTAAAGGAGCCACTGTGATGCCTGTAAAAGGTAGAGAGGGAAGCAGAAGAGGAGGAATTCTTGGATAAGACCACCAGACCATGGTAGGGCATCTGTTTCTATGGCAGATTTCTTTGTGCTGTGTAGACTTGACAGGTTAATTTTGAAAAGGGCATGAGGCCCACTGCAAAACATACAATGCAATGTATACAGCTGTTTTCAGTAGCTGATTGTCCCAAACAATCCTCTATCCTGTCTCTTGTCCATCATTTACTTGTCCATCATTCATTTGAGAGCTAATGAATTCTCCACTATTTGTTTCTGGATTCCTGCCATATGTCACAGCTTGCCAGTCTCCCCTCACCAAAACATTAAGTCTGCATGTGGCCAACCATCCTTTTTGAAAATCCTAGGTAAGGACACAAACAGGAGATACACCTAGATATGTACTGCTTAGATGGAGATTTGCAGTTGTGCAAGATTTTGGAATTAAGTAAATTGTTCTTTCATGAAAGGGCTACAATGACATATTTTTAATAGCACTGTATTGGCTAACAGTGTCACTCTTTAGACCAATAATTCATTATGTAAGAGTGAATTATTGGAGTAAATTAATCCCTGACATAACTGAACTGAGGTAAAAGGAATTTCCCTGAAGATAAATTTGTCCCATTGTTTGCTTGCTGCTTGCTTTATTTGCAGTGTTTTTAGTAGGCTGTGTAAATTCATCATATAAACTGGCATTTTTTAAATTAATGGCAACAAAACCAAAAAAAAATTGCACTCCTCAGTCCCTGTACCCCAGGACTTCAAGGCACAAACACTAGAAAGCAATGACTGCAGCATGAGTCCCACTGCATTTTAGAGTACTAAAATAGTTCTGGGCTTCAAGAAACAAAATTTGTGCAGCTCTGTAAAGATAACATTTGGCCTACCAACTGTGTACTCCCTTAACAGGAACTACAGCGTGGTACTTAGCTCCCTGTCACTGCTTCAACCTGCTATCCCGAACTCTTACCTGCATCTGCAGTTCTCTTACATAAACAACTTCTTCCTTTTGTTAGCACAAAAGTGTTTGCCTTGCACATTCTTGACAAAACTATCCACTGGACTGTGACTCCATCATCTTTTTACCAGTAATCAGGCACAGCATGGAACAGGGAGAAAAATGAGTTGTCATTAAGATACTGTATCTCACTGGCAATTCAGAAGCTTTCATTTCATCTTCTAAATGACAATTTAGTGAAGGAGACTGAAAACAAAGGCATCAACCTGCCACTTTCTGACCAAGCACCCAAAAGGGACACATGTTGCAGCACAGTACCACACAGTCTTAGAAGAGAAGGGCTAGAAGATACCTCTGGAAGTCAGCTAGTGTAACCCTCTGCTAAAGTGCTTGTTTAATTTGTTCCTAGAATTAAGAAACAATGCTGTCACACAAGTAAAGGTGTGTTACCCCAAAAAAACAAGAACACCTTAGTCTGTGATAAAGTCCCACCTCTGCAAGGGTTCTTAAATACACTTGAGAAATCCAAGAGAACCAGGTCCCCTAGTACAGAGGAAGGCAAAACCACCCATAGTCCATGTCAATCTGACCATGGAGTAACATTTCTTCCTGCCCCCAAATGCAGTGATCAGTCTGCCCCTGAGCAGTGGGGCAAGACCCTTTAACCAGGAACCTTCAAGATTTTAGTTCCAGCAGGAGCATTAGTTCCAGCATTCCCTAGTCAAAATCTCCAGACTTGGCTGCACCCAACATCCAATGATTTTGAGGAAGGCAACCCCTATTGCCCCCTGCCCCAGCTTCCACTTTCATGGAGCCTATGGGGAATTCTACTAGCAGAGTGAGTGTTCAGCACCCCCAGGCTATCTGCAGCACCAACCAGAAGAGAATTTTGACCTGACGATATGTTCAGAGGCAGTAATGGAGAATATACTCTGATATACCTGCTTCTCATTTTACACCACACCACCACCTTCTTCTTTAATGTGAACTTGTTTAAAGCATGCATAGAAGACATGGATTTCAAAATTCAGAGAGCAGTCGGTAGTTTGCCACAGAGTCATATGCTGCTGAAAGTCACCTCATACAACTTCCCCACCAACTTTTGGCCACTCTGAGTTGGGATGAAAATGACCCTGAAACACTTGCTCTAATTTGGTAAGTTATTTTGAGTATTATACCTGTTGGATCTCACTGCTGTATGTTCTTGTCTATTCTGCCTACAGGGTGCTGCTGAAGGAGAAGGGCAAGCCTAGTGATGGTCCAAACCAGCAAGCAAGAGGTTTGGCTAGCTTATTTGGCCCCAAACCCCAAACTCCTAAACTGTTCAGAGCACTACTTGGAAATTCAAGCAAAGAAGGCATTGGTATGCTGCTCAAGTTGAAGATAAAGCAAGCAGACCAGGTAACACCACAGCAAATACAGTAAGCTATTCCAAGTGCTCAAGACATAAGCAAGGAGAAATGTATCAGGAATGGCCAAAAAGAATAGATGACTAAAGTCAATAGCAAAATGACTTAGGCCAACTGAAGTTAAGGGCAAAACTTCTATTGTCCCATTGCTATTCAAAAGTGTGGCCCATTAGTGTATTCACATTGTGTGTAGGAAAAGAAGAGGCAGCAAAAAGAAAAAAGAGAAATACAGATTAAAACTGATTGTATTAGATCTGGAGCCATCTGAATTTTGAAACTATCCTGATGCCCCTTGAAAACATTATTCTAACATGACCAGCATGATCTGTCTGATACCAGGACACTGCCTAACTTGTCCGTTCAAACTTCTCGCTTTCTGTACTTCTCTGCAAACTATAGGGACAACATTTTAAGATGAACACATTTAGTTTGATTAATTCCAAACAGTACTGATAACTATTTCTTGATCCATTACAAATAGAGCTGGTCATTTTCTTTCTTTGTGCCAAGCAGAAATTCACTGGAAAATGCAGTTTGAGGAGGACAGAACCTATTCAGGACTTTGAAACAAAATGTTTTTATTTGAAATTTCAAAACAAACTGTTGACATTTTCATTTAGAAATATTTTTTTTAATTAAAAATGAAACCAAACTTTTAAGTTGGTGTCACACAAAATATTTCTGGTTGACACAAAACATTTTAATTTAATTTATTCATCTAAAATCTTTCTATTTTAAATCTGCCTGAAGTCTTTTTTTAAATTTTTCAGATTAGCAACTCCCCATTTTTAATTACAGTATCCATGTCATAATATATGTCTCCACACACTATAAAGAAATATTTAACTCCTTATTGTAGGAAAAGAAACCTGACCCAGAGGAAAAGAAACCCAAGGCAGAAGCAGAACCCCAAACCCCAAGTGAACAAAAGGAAGAGCCGCTTGCGAATTCTCAGCCTCTACCCAACTCAGGTTTGCATAGAGAAATCACTAACAAGTCTCTTATCATTACCATGTCTCCTTCCACCACAGCAGGAGAAGGAGAGATTCTTACTGTTGAAGTCAAAGAAAAAAAGCAGGAGTAGATGGTGGATTAGTCTATGGTTTAATCTAGAGTTTTGCTGAAATCATAGAGAACACAGTGTGGCTTTCAACTTTAAAAAGCAAAATTAGTTTCTTCCTCCATCCTAGGGACAATTGGGTAAATCATTTATGTACTTTGTCTCTAGACTTTTTTTTGTGTAGAAAACATCATATTTCGGGTCTATTTCTCATTTCTTCCATGCTGTCACTCATCCTTTACTCTTTACACCTACTTTTCCTTTTCCTGCTTCTCCTAGTTTTTTTTATCTTGCTACTTTTTCTCATGATTTTTTTAGTCTTTATTTTCATGTGGCTCCTTTTCTATTTCCTCTTCTTGTTTCCAATTATAATTCTTTACCTCCTTACTGCATTAATATTGCTGAGAGTTTGTTTCTTGTTATTTTTCTGTCTCCTCCTTTTATATTGTTAGTAAGTGAATTGCTTTTATAACCAACATAGGCTCACTTCGAATACTGATGATCAGGGTTTCATGTGTTTAAAGGCTTTAATTTGGTCTCCATTGGGCAGAGAACCACCTAGCACAACTATCATCAATAAGACACTGCAGTCAACAAAAAAACTGAGAGAATTCTCTTGCAGTCAAGAAGCTCTTTACACTGTCTGTTGGCTCTTACCTCACATGTTTTTTAGTGTATTCATGCCCAGATAGGAAGAGGTAGTTAGCTGTGTTAGTCTGAAGCCAGGCAGAAGGCAGGGCACGGTGGTGGTACATCAGAGACTATTTCAGATAGACATAATGTTTCTTAGGTGACAACTCAGATGTTTTGATTCATAAACCTAACCCCAATCCTAACTCTGGGGTCATACAATCTGGAAAAGTCAGTTGTCACCTACAAAAACTTTGACCTTTCTGAAGCTGTTAGTTTCTAAGGGCCCTAGCAGATGTTACATCTATGGCAAAATTAACGTGTTAGTCACATCATAAATTGCAACATGCCACAGATTCAGCCAATTCATGGTGTGATAAAATTGAAAACCAGATACAAAGATGTTCCACTTACAATATTATATGTGGAACATCTTTGTGCCTGGTTTGTATCATACCTTAAATTGAAAATGTGGCATGTATCGCAGACATGGGACTGCCTTATGCTTGATGCCAAACAATCAACTGATCATTGGTATGAGGCTTGAAGTCTTGATTGTCAGAATCAGACATGGGGCAGGCCTGGGATCCAGGAAACAGCTTCCCTTTGCCCAGTCTCCAGAACTGGATTGGGGACAGTCCTGGGATCCAGTTTGGTCCTAGCAGTCCCACAATTGGGATCTAAGGAATATTATGCTCCATCCCAGAAATGACAAGTTTGGCATGACAGGACATGGGATTTTTAGGATGAGGCATAAAATTCCTCAGATCCCAATCATGCCACAGTATTAACTTCTGTTGAGGGCATAGGGTGCCACCCTGACCTGCCTTTTACCCAAATATAGAGTCACATTGTGTAACTATTGACTTATATGTTCCTAATACTGTGCATCAAGAACTTTCCTTGTTTATATACTAAATACTTTTTAATAAGAATAAATGATCTCTCATGCACAGCAGGGACAGAATCAGATTAGAAAACTGATACAGAATAATTCATCTAATGTACATGATAGCATCTCAGCATAATTTCAAAATTGAACACTGTAATATTCCTACTTTGCAAATGAGGCCTTTTGAGTCTAATAAAGATATGCTCACCGATTTGAATACATGAGTTTCATATTGTTCTGAAGTAAAGTCAGTGTTAGCCTGTGTGATGTAATACAGACTGTTAAGAAAATATGTGTTAATGTTCTGATGTTGCAGCAGAGATCTGACCCACTTCTGTAAATTCAAGTGCTGTCACAGAGCTTTCAATAAACAGTGCTATTCCATTGTTGTCATCTCAGAATGAAGTTTTATCAATCACATTGACACGTATCATAAAGTAAAGGCTGAGTCTGTGGCAGAGGCATCATTGCACAGCAACAGCTGAGCATAATCAACAAATATATTTTGTAAAATATACAGCACTGAATGCAAGGCTGTTCACTCCATCAAGATAACAATGCAATTTCTGCATAACTTTTAAATTGTCTCTATTCTCAGAAATAGAGTAGAAGTGATTGCCGTGTGTTTATATTAGACCACAACAATGTTTATGGCAGGCAGATCTATGGCAGGGCTGTTCAAACGGTTATTCATAGTCTCTGAAGCCAGATACTTGGTAGTGGGGTGAGCAGCAGTGGTAGTGTCAACTGCCATGGATGCCAGAGCCACTGTGCTGGCAGGTCAACCACTTTGGAGGTGGGGCTATCACTGCTGATACTTAACCTGTTGGGGAATCTCCAGGTTGAGCTCCTCACTAGGGACACCTTTCAACAACAGCAGGGCAAATGACGGTGACAGCAACTCCATGGGTGCTGGTGACCCCACTGCCAAATTTCTAGGTCGAGATCCCCCTTGGAGATGCCTTTCAGCAGTAGGGCAAGTGGTGGCAGTAAGGTCAACATGCAGGGTTAATGCCACTGCTGCTTGCTCTGCCACTGGAGGTGGATCATATGACTTGCAAGAAACTCAGCATTCTGGATCCAGTCTGGCAACCCAAAGGAGATGGCCAGTCTGATTTAAGAGAAAGACTAAGAAAATGTAAGATGATCCTCTCTACCTGCATGATTTATGCCTCATTCCTCCTTACTGCCCATGCAACCCTAATGTGGGAACCCCCCCCACCCCTATGACATAAAGAGGAGCCAACTGAGAGATAGCTCAGCCAAAAGGGTTTGCTTCTCATTAGGTCTAGGGATAGACATTACACATAAACCAGTTTAAGTGATCAGAAAGTGGTTAAAATTTGTAACAGAACAGATGTTCAGTGCACATAAACCACCTTGAATATGGCTGAAACCAGTTAGAGATAAACCTGGTTGAATGTAGTATCAGACTTAACTGATTTGGCTCAAGCTGGTTTATGCAATGTCTGTCCCAGACCCCTTGGTGGTTTAAGATAAACCATACACGCCCAACATCTTGGCTTGCTCTCTGGGATGGGTGGGGGCTTTCTGCTCCACACCAGAGCTGGCCCTTCCTCTCTGCTCCCTAGCTGGAGCTGCAGCAGAGACTTGTAGACTCAGCAGGGTCTGTCTGGCTTCCCCCTGCCCTACGCCCCTCCCCCTTGCTGTTTAAGCAGGAATCCTGCCTCCCTCCCTTCCATCTTCCACAGCACAGACCCTAGCTCCACAGCTCCTAGGCACGTGGTATACTAGCTAATGCTGAGAGGTGTCGCTGTGTGTGTGTCTCTCCAATTTCACTGGGACAGGCACACAGAACAGTGACCGCTTTAGAGCTATCTGGAGCTAATCAACAGGTCAGCTAGTAAGCTGTTTAAGAAGAGGTTGAAGTAATGGACAGAGCCTATTGTTTTGCTGATGAGATGATAATCACTGTTATCAGCCCCCTGCTGGCTTGCACCCCTGTCAGTTTGCTGCAGACAGTATAAAGAATCAGGGAGATTGAAAAGCTCAGTATCATCAACAGATGAATGCACTGCACACACCCCCACTGCCTCAGATTGCTAGCAGCGGGCTGGGTCTGGCAACACTCCTGCCCCTTGAGCAGCCAGTGGGGAAAAGCCAATGGGGACTGTGCAGGCAGACCTCCCTAATCACAGGCCCTGCGGAGGCCTAATGATGCCCAACCCCCTCAGCTCAGTACTGTAAAAGGGATGGGAGGGCTGCTTTAGCATCCCCTGGCTTCTAGCCTGAGCCACTGCAGGCATGTGCCTGAATTTCCTCAGCCAGGGAGAATGGCTGTCCACTTACAAACCAGTTCAGCCTAGCCAGGTTAGACTAATCTGCAAAGATTGAATCAAATTAGGCTCAGGCTTCTTGAATGTCTGCCCCTAGCCTAGAAGAACAGACTGGTGGGTAAAACCAATTCTGCTCACCGGACAGGCACAAGACAGCTAGGTTCTGCTCCAGATACAACTTTCTTGAGAAGAAGACAACTCCTACCATCCTCATCTTTCTCTTAATTTCCAAAAGGGGCTGCCAGGCGTTTAGGTTGGTAGACCTATTTACCCTTCTCCTTACCTGATAAGACAGTAGTGGAAAGAAGAATAGTCAGAAGTATAAGCCACTTCAACACAAGTAAGGAATAACCTAATTCCTTTGAGCTGATAATGTTGTGTGAAAAATCAGGTGATGCATACACAACTGGCTCAGTGCAGACAGACACTACTCAATATAATCTGCTTCTACAGGCCTGAGTTCTTCTTACAAAGTAATCCCATATTTGTTAATGCTTAACATGTAGGTTACTCCCATGGAACCATTCCATGTACAGATTATGAGAATGCACTCTATTTAAGAGCCACAGAAAATTTTGTGGCAGTCTTTTCCAAAGTACAATAGTAGGGAGGAGAAAGGTGACTTACTCTTCAATTGCTACATATCTGTAAGGGCATGTGAGGTTATTGCTGATCACAGGTAAAAGCATGAGTTTTAGGCCATTTCTCTTTTTCTGTATCTTTCCTGGTTAGCAAAGTTCATCCTTTTACCCACTGCAACCCAAGGAGAGGCAAAGAGAGAACACAGCCAGGAAGTACAGCACACTTGCTGTAGCTTCCCACATCTTTTACTGAAACCATGAAGGCGATAAGTTGCAGCTATACCATCAACTTCACACTTGGAGTCTGAGCAGGTGTTAAGGTTTCTTCAAGCTCTCCATTATGTAGGCAGAAGACAGGGAAAGCTGTAAAAAAATTATGATCTTTACACAGACACTGTAAAGTACTAAAACCCTTTCCCACCTCTCACTGTGGCAGGTCTCCCTAGGCAAAACACTCATTTTGTTGTGCTTGCTGTCAGTACAGGGTAAATCTTTTGCAGAGGGCCTCCAGATTATCATCAGGAACATGCAGTTCTTGGTTAGAATGAAAAAAAATGTGCATTAAATTGTTATGCTTTGTCTGTCCTTAATGTACAAATAGAGGAAGGCTCAAGAATTCAACATATGTAATATGCTGTTTTACACAGGACTATACCGTAAGAACAAAGGTTGCATGGTAATACAACTTGGTAATGGCTAGCTCTTCTTAAATTATGGACAAAATATGGTACATACAGTCAAAGGAGTAGTCACTTAACTTTCAACTGTCTTGAGGTTGAAAGGTTAGTCTAGTTTAGCGCTGTCAAACTGGTGGCCCACAAGGGATTGACTCATGGCCCCTAGGCAGCCAGTTCAGGTGCCACTACCCACATCACTTTCTTGCTGTTGGGCTCCTGCTCCCTCCTCCAGCTTCTGCTTCCTGTCCCTGGGAGGCCAAAGCCCAGGGACCCCAGTGGCCCTGCCCAGCACAGCAGGGACAGGTGCACCTGTAGATTATGCAGTGTAGGACCCCAGTCATTCAGAAGCTAGACAGCACTAGTCTGGATGACACTTCCAACCTTCTGATTCTATGATCATTTTCTTACAAAATGGCAAAAAAAATGTGAAATTAATAGTAGGCTCCTTCTTCCAAATGTATCAATCACCTGTTTACAGAAGCTGGAGGAAAAAAGGGGGAGACCAGAGACTCTGACAGCAACAGGAGAGTGATGCAGGGAATGGCACCTGAACTGGGAGCCCAGGCCCTGTGAGTTAACCCCTTGTGGGTTGGATCAAGCTCTTGGGCTGCCAGTTGGCTAGCCCTCAAGCTAAATCCCTTTCAACCTCATAGGACAGTTGGAAATTGAGTGGCTTTACTTTGCCTTTGATTGTATGTACCAGATTTTATCCATAATAGAAGAGCTGACCTTTACCAACTCCTGTTATAATGCAAGCTTTCTTTTACAATGTTGAAATCCTGAATAAGAACCTGGATGGCCTGCAAATCTTAGTCATAATTCTATACATGAGCAAGGTTGCAACTCTAAAAATCTGCAAGAGGCACAGGAAAAGCATGGCTAAACTTTAGTATTGGCCATTTAACATTTTGCACAAGGTCAGATCTTTGCTTAACTGAAGTAATCAGCATTATAAGTCAATAAAAATACTCTACATCTCAAAATGCGGAGCAAAATGTCACTTTCTCTGTTCTGGTAACATAGGATATGTATTTGAGACATCTACATATGCTAGAAACACTTGGACCTCTTACAACAGCTACAAAAAAAAAAATCACTTACTGGATGACAAGAAAACTTGAACAGAAAGCACAGCAAAACATGTTTATTGAAATGATACTTTTAATGCATTAAGCCATTTGGTATCACTTGACTTTATCACAACTGAAATATAAAGGAATAGAGGTGTGTGTGTGCGTGTATAAATGATGTATATAAAGGAAAATATATATTTTTAAAAAAAATCTGGTCATACAATATATTGCCACTGTACATATGCATAGCTCAGCAAATATTAAATAAGGAAAAAACCCCCACACATCTTTGATTGTGAAAGCTGCTTTACATAACCTGCATCACAAGGTGGTACTATTGAGCTACAAACACATGTACTCTGAAAAGCAGAAAGTTAAATCCAGTTATACAATTGTTTTGTCAATATTAATCCATTAAAGCAACTGATACATTTAAAATACAAGAACTAGAGAGAACACATGATACATCCTCCCTCCCTCTCAGGAATACATAACTTCATTCCAGTCCCTACAATCTGAAAGTTAGAGAAAGGCCACGTGTACTTTGTCATTTGATTTTTAATACATTAAGATAAAAGAACAATTGCAAAAGCCCAGTAACTACAGAATTCCCTCCCTTTGGGCACTGTGAAAGAAAAATGCAATAAGTACTGAAGCTCTGAGAGGGAGCAAAGGGGAAGCAAGGGACAGTGCAAATCTAGCCTGCTTTCAGATACAATCTGAGAATTATTACTAGCCTGTCCTTTAGTACAAGAACTGCAAAAAGTTTCTTCACCATAGAAACTGGGAATGTGCACGTGTGTAGCTTAAAAAGATACCAGATTTAATCTTAATGCACAGTCATTATTTAGAAGTTAGGTACACTAGTTCTGCAGATGCGACTAGTACTTCCATGTTACTACCAAAGCCACAGTCAAGGAATACTTAGAGTGCAGCAGAATCTACTTCACCATCCTTCTGGTACATATGAGAGGACCAAAGGATCATATTCTATACTATAGTATACTTTTCAGTGACCTTTGCTTAAAAAAAAACCCAAACACTCCTTAGTGGTCTCTCTACCTGGCACATGTGGACTTGAAGTAGTTTACTCCTATGAATACATCGCCTATGAATTTGTAACTGTACGACTAAGGTTTAGTGCTGGCTGTTTCCTTGCTTTTAATACTTTGCTGTGCCCAATATTAATTGCTGTCCCTATAAAGTAGCAATTTATTTTGACCACACTGACAAAAGGCAATACTGTAAGCAAAAATTCAAATTCAAATTAAGACAGAAAGGTAGAACTTGGCTTAACATGAACCAGTATTTGGGGACATCTGTGATAGAAAATAAATCACATCATTCATATTAATTAAACATTCTACTTAACCATCTACAACCCATCTTGGTTGTTTCACAAACTGTGCAAGACAGCATGGTAAGATAATAGTGATACATGCACATAAATCAGAAAAACAAGCACACAAAAATGAGACAGAGGGCATTGCAGCCATATGATAAAGGAGATCAAAATACAGAGGTTCCAACAGGTAGGAGAGGCCTGTGTACATAACCTAGCAAGTAAGAAAGGCTATTGTATGGATCTGAATGTTCAGTTAGTCTACATGTGTTCCAGGTCATCATGAGTTTACAACTCGGTCCTCATCAAAGGGGCTTTGCCCTCAATCCAGCTGACTTCAGATTCTTCATTACAAAAAATTAATGTTCAAAATAGACATTTTGGAAAGGGATGAAACTGTGTTTTATTTCAACTGTGTATTATATATACTGGTAATATCAAAAAGAGTTGTTTGTGTTGGTACCAAGTGTGCAAGTGGAGTGTGTTAAAATTCACAGGATTATATGGAGTTTGGGGTCTTCCATGAGACAGCATATGGAAAATTAACATCTTTTTGAGACCATACATTTCAACTAGAAAGCATGAACAATGCCAGACCTACTCAACGAAAGGTAAAAAGATATCAACGAAAGATATATTCCTGAGCACTTTCAAAAAATTGTCTTCATATGACATGATGACAAATCAAACAATACTTTTACTAAAAAGGGAAAACTCCTATCCTTCCCATTTAGCAACCGAGTTGTAATAGTAACCAGAGTTGATAATTAGCCTTATGATTGTTTTAGATAAAAGTAGTGATATGCACCTTAGTTTTTCAGCACTCTACACTGTCAAGTGTATCAAGATCTGTATAAAATTTACACTGACAGGTCGACATTACTTAGAGGCAAACAGTTGAATTAGTTTTGAAATGCTGGTTAGACAGTTAGTTACCATTACTTTAGGCAGCTGGTTGCATCTATAGCAGCACAATTATAAGCTGCATACTATGAAATAGTTTTAACATTTACTGTTTCATCAATTTAACTAATATTAAAGTGGTCCAGAATCCCTCAAATGATCAAGATAATAAAAATTCAGGAGGTAGTGTGAAAAGGTATCTTTAAAGATCTACCTCTGCATTACCTACATTTAGCTGCTATTTTGTGTATGGTGAGCAAACTTATTTTGTGGGAGTTTGTACATGAGCTTTGACAGTCACAACAGTCAAAGCGTTCAAGTGCACGTACATCCCAGCATGTGTCCTTTCATGTAAACAAATGCTCTTTCTACACCACTGAAAAATCATGGTATATTGGGGTGATCCTCCACAAGGTACAGTGGACTAGCTTGATGGCAGTATTACATGGGCATTGCAACACAAAGCAACTGTTCCACACCCAATCTGTTGACACAATGAGTTCATTATTGTATTATTGTCGATTATATTCAGCTTATTCTTGACAAATGTTATTTTCTAAAGCATTCCCATCTGAGACCTGAACTATAATTTGTAACGGGGATTAAACAGAATTCCTGTCTATCTCAAATATAAAATGTTGGCAAAGCATAGGGATTCCATGAGAAAGTTGACACAAATATTAACATGTATGAATGTATAAAGAGAATATCAAGCAAAAGTCTGTTGATACAGCTGACGCAGGAGGCACAGGAACTGCAAGCAGGTTAGCCTCGTCTCTTCCACTCAGAGCTCTCACTTTGCCGCAGGATTCTTGGGAGGCTGCAGTTTGTATGTGTTAAAGTAGTTCACCACTTGCTGAGGCACTTCTGCTAGTACACACTGAGCCAGAGCTTCTTTTGGAGCCTTTTTAAAAAAAGATCATTGTACTTCAATTTTAACCAACAGTTAGGGGAGACCTTACATTTTAGTCACTGTCTCTTTTTGGAAAATATAACAAACTATATTTCTCAGCAGAATATACCAGGGGTTGTCAACTGGGGGTGTGTGTACCCCTGGGGGTTCTTGGGAAGACCCCAGGGGGTATGTGGCAGCAGCGCGGAGAAACGGGGGTGCATGGGAAGCAGTGGTGCAGGGTCGCCACCGCCATCCATCACTGTGCATTGGTGCCATGCGCTGCTGCCCCACACCCAAAGTACCCCCACTTCTCCACGCCTCTGGTTTCATATCTGGCCGGCTGGCTGGCTAAGGGGTGGGGGAGTTTGCTCATGGCCAGCCAGACGTGAACCCAGCGGCACGGAGAAGCAGGAGGTACCTAGAAAGTTGCACTGAGGGGGCAGGCCTGCCACCACCATCCATCACTTCATGGTGCCGCATGCCGCTTTCCTGCCCCAAGTATCCCTGCTTTTCCACACTGCCAGCTTCATGTCCAGCTGGCTGTCAGCACCCCCTCCCTGCCCAGTGCATGGTGATGGTGCAGAGAGTTTGCACGCAGCAGCTGTCCCTGCCACCATCTATACACTCAGTGCCACCACTGCGCAGGGGATGGGGTGCTGATGGCCGGCCACATGCGAACCCAGTGACGCAGATAAGCGGGAATACTTTGATGTGGGAAACCGGTGCCCGGTAGCAGCACGGAATAATGGATGGCAGCAGCAGCCCCACCCCACACACCATCACTTCCCAGGTACCCACACTTCTCCGTTGCCAATTTCATGGCCAGCCGTTTGGGGAGCAAAGTGGGGGGGGGGAAGCGGGCTGACGACTGGCAAGACGCAAAGCGCATAGATGGTGGCAGTGGCCACGGCTTCGCGTCTGGCCGTCAGCAGCCCCACTACCACCCGGAAGGGGTACCCTGCTTAAAAAAGGTTGAAAACCCCTGTGCTATATTATTGTACTACTAGACAGATTCCTGTGAATTAGCCGATTGTCTTCCTGAATCTCAGGAGCACAGCTATTCCTTGGGGGGGGGGGGGGCAAAAGACCTTTTTTGGGGGGGGGGGGGGGAGCAAATCGCGGGTCTGATTGCCTCCCACGCTTTGGGGAGGGGGCTTGCAGACAGTGGCAGACAGTGCCATTGGCATGTGCCAAGGGTGCCACTGTACACCGACAGCTTTGCATTCTGTCTGTTCGTCTCTCCACACTCATTACCGCCCCCCCCACTCCAGCCACGCACCACTGCCTCTCCCCAGCTGATATGACCCAGGCCCCGCACACCCCTAGGGTCAGCTCTGCTCAGGAGTGGTAGCATTTGTGTATTATGTGCCCTTCCTAAGGTATTCTCAGATTCATCAAAATACAACATGCATGCCCAAGCATGATATTTTTAGTCATATCTGTTATACAAGGTCAAGATAACAGAAGTTATAAACCGACCTAAGATGTTCCACCCATATCACAAACTCTTACCTATATTAAACTACATTATTTGTTTTTTTAGGGGAATTCCTTCAGGGGATAGTTGTTTATATCTAAATATCAAACCTCTGACACAATACAACTTGCTTCCTAGCAACTGAAAGCCATACTTGAGCAGAACCAGTTCTTCAATGAATAATCAGTACTATAATAGACTAACTGGTTAGTTAATCTACAACCAAGGGTGGCATATTAAGCATGGTTTATGTAAGGATTATGCTCTGCCCCCACAGTAATTTGTCCAAATGAAACAGTGGCAATCAAAGAAAAGGCTTATATTAAAATTATTTTTAGCAGGAGGGGGAGGAGACTAGGGTACAGAATGTACAAAACAAGGCTATGCAAGACAGGGATGAGACTGTATCTAAGAATTTGCTGATTGCTCCTGCCCTCTTCCCCACTTTTTTCTGCTATACATGTCAGGGTGTTTTTAAGCCAGAGGCACTGGGTGTTGGCTACAGCTAAGGCTGGGGACTTCAACTGGGGTGTGCCGATTCTTCTGCTAGGAGCAAAGCTGGAAGTTCTTGGCTACAGGGTCTTGCCCTTCTACTCAGGGTCACATTGACTGCCATATCTGGGGTCACGAAGGAATTTTACTTCATGATCAGATTGGTATGGACTGTGTTGGTTTTTGCCTTCCTGTGTAAGTGGGAAACATAGCCCTTTACCCAGGACCTCTTGGACATATATTTACAACATTTTATGGAAGCAGAATATTGAATGTCGTGGTTCCACTGCTGTACCTGTGGTAGGTTGGGGTGTTAGGTCTATGTTGCATCAGGGTTGAAGGTAATCATCCACAGAGTTTAGATTGTGGTTGTATGGGATGGTCTGGATAGGGTTGATCCTGCCTGAGGCAGAGGGTTGGACTAGATGACCTCTGGAGGTCCCTTCTAGCTCTACTTCTCTGACTCTGTGACTAAGAATGTACCTGGAATGCTGAACTGCTTTGTCAGGCTAAACTTCCTACAAATCCAGGTACATTTTTAAACTAATTTTTAATTTTGGCAAAGGCATAAAATACAAACAGACTATGTGACATACTGGGAGAGGCATGCATACAGTTGAATTCCTTTCGAGTTAAGCAGCAAATTGAATTATTCCTACAAGTTTCCTGTGTTCTGACTTATTTGTGTTAATAAAAAAACTGTAATACTATTTTCTCCCCTTCACACAATGATTTTATCAAATAATCCAATGCATGCACACTAGGTTTGGTTTAAATAAACACTCAGGCAATGCCACTGATTTCAAAGAAAGTACTCCTATAGAGGGACAGAATGATGAAAATTTACTCCTTCCAAGGAAGGCACTATTTAATTGTGTTGAATTGTATTTGATGGTGTTGAATTAATGTGCCATATAAATTTCCCCTGCAAATATTGGTTACAAAATATATTTTGTGAAAGCCAAGAACAGGTCATCTTTTTACTAGAGCCAAGTTAATATACTGTGAATTCTATAGGCGGGCTAGAAGATACACATTTCTTTTAAGATATTAATACAGATGTACCTTGCTTTCTGCTGAGGTATGAATTGGCTCCACGACTCACTCCAACAACACTGCATGGATCAGGCCAGAGTGAAAGCAAGACTGCCTGTATCTAGATACTCAAATCTAACATACTTCCCTAGTATTTATTCAGGACATAATTAGTTACATAAGTACTTACGTTCTGGAACTTCCTAAATGGAACAAATTGGACAATGTCTCTGATAGCCGGCTCTCCTGATGGGGACCTGAGACTTCCGTTGTCACCATCAAGAAACTCCATGGCACTGAAGTCAGCTCCTCCAACACCAACAATGATAATGGACATTGGAAGCTTTGAAGCATTTACTATGGCAGTTCTAGTTGCATCAAGGTCTGTTATCACACCATCCGTTATGATAAGGAGCACAAAATATTGCTGTCAAACCAAGACAACAGAGATCAACTGAAGAATAAATGCATTTTGGGTGCTACAGACTTGCATGCAACATCTGCAATACTACAACCCTACTACTCAGATTTACCATACATAGAGTCACTACTTTCAACACATAAAGGTAAGTCACTAACCACCGCAGACAAACTGCTAACTTTTGATTTGACACTTGACAGAAGTGGAGTTTACAATAAGGAGCCTAAAGTCCAAGTAGCCTCCTTACCAAGTGATTCTCAAAATTTCAAGTACAGAAATGTTCAATGACTGGAGTTTTTCCTGACACCTCTGGCAAAGTTTGAAAATTAATTTTATAGAATAGTAGGGTTGACAAGTCAGTCAATCGATCAGTCAAATTTTGTTAAATGACCGGTCTGTTGATTGCATACTTTTTGACTGGTCAGAGATTATGGCGATTTTATAGGGAGTGAATGTTTTTGCAGGTTTCTTGATAAATATGATTTTTTACTGTTTTTGACACATCTCTTCATGGAAAATTTGTGCTTTTTCTGTGTATTATTTGACTGCATAGGCAATTTGTTTTACAATTTTTTACCAATATTTGACAGGTCAACTGACCAAACTTTATTTGACTGGTCAAATACCCTGCCCTTCAGAATACCTTTCGTTTTGGTCCTCTGAAAGGATACCTTCGAGAAAAGTGTCTTCATGTTAAACCTCAGCACAGTTTGGGATGACTAAGCAAAAGAGCACTAAGGAAAAATAAAAGACTCTCCTCTATGTTACACTAGGGGTGCTCAAGCACTCATGGCCCCCGGTGCTGTATCATTGGACACACAGGGCTCTCCATGGATCTATGGGGAGCCCCTGGGCTGTGACCCTATGTGCTAGATTGGGCAGCACAGGGCCTGCTCTAAGTGTGCAGGACCCCCAGAATCCAATCATGGCTGGGCATGAACCAGGTGGAAGTAATGCAGGACCCAATCTGGCCTGCAGACTGGCCCCATGCCATTTATCTGGCCTGTGGGGCAAAAACTGTTAGCACCACTTTCCTGTACTAAGAAGTTGGCAAGATATTGACCAGGGAAGATAACACTGTGCTTTGGCAAAAAAAAGGAAGGAAAAAAAAAAAAAAAGATAAGATACCCAATTTTTAAATGCAGCTGAAAGGAGTTTGAACATGTTACCTTGTAATGGCTCCATTCATCAAGGAAGTTTTATATTTGTATATATGACATTCTGGGTTGGATTATTAGAAAACAAGTGGATAGCTCTTCATTTTCTCTCACACATGCTGTCTCTTCAAAATTCCTATGGCAGCTTTCTTTTCTCTATTCCAGCATGCCAGCTGTTTTGCTAAGATTAACTGCCACTAGGCTTGAATTCTTCTTTCAGTCTTTTGAATAATTTATTCATACTTCAATTAGAAGCCAGTAGCTTGGAGTATATGTGTATGTAACTGATAGTTTCAACTGTAAATACCTATTCAATTGTACAGTGCCAAACATGTTTTCAATAAGCAAAACAAGCACTCCTCAGTTGAAAGAGGAATCCTTGGCGCTGCACTCCTATAGAGGTCTATGAGTGTGTGAACTTAAAGTCCTAAGTCCAGAGACTGTTAGCAAGGAAAGAATTTCAGGAGGAGGATCAGGTACAAATGTACTAATGGTAAAAATATAAATATTGACTCCTGCTACAACCATGTACCACCACCACCAAAAGTCCAAAGGAAACATCCTAGTTTGTGTGCTAGGTTCATAGGTGGGTTAAAAAAAAAAAAAAAAGGACTAAATAAATTCATGGATGACAAAACTATCACTAGCTATTGAACAGAACACATGGAGATATTTCCTCTGGCATCTCTAAATCTATAATGGTGGATGCTGGGGAGGGTACTGAACAGGGGACAGAACACTCTAGAGATGTGTGGTTCTATGCTCTCCCTCTAAAGCACCTAATCCTGCCACTGCTGGAGACAGGATACTGGCTAGATAGACCATTTCTGATCCAGTAAGGTACTTATTATGTTCTTATGTTAATTCACCTATCAATACCTAGTCCTATATCACAGTTAGCATCTCAGTGCAGGGAACAAAGTGGAAAGGTTTGGAGGTCATTTTGACAGTTTTTGGAGGCCATAGAGCTCATTTTGAGAGTTTTTGTGCAAATGTTGTTTTTGAATCCAGACTTCCCTATGTTATAAACTGGAGCTTGAAATGGCAGAGAAGTTTGTTTGCTATTTTGAACACTCAAATCACAGGTAACCATGCATGGAAGTGTATTCACATGCTTCTATATTGAAAAGTTACCTGCACAGAGTACAAAAATCTTAACATGCTCAATAACTCATTCAAAGCCATGGATGAAAGTAATTACAGAAATGCCAAGTATTTTTTTATTGATGTAAGTTTCATCAAGAAATATTTTTGTTACATACAAACAGGTGGGGAAGCTTTAGCACTTATTCAGCTTAATGGTATCAAATGCAACTAACTTCATAAGGTAAGTGGTTAACTAGTACAACTGATATGATTCCCAGCTGAGACGGGGCGGAAATAATGAATAATGGAACAAAACAAATGAGAAAGGAAACACCCATGCTGCTAAAGTACTTACAGATGCTGTCTGCTGCTGTGCAGCTGCAGCAGCAAATTTTGCCACATGGTTTATTATTGGAGAAAAATTTGTTGGTCCATATAGTTTTACTTGTGGAAGGCATGCTCGATACGCTTCAACAATGCCTTGTACTCCTTTCAAAAACAAAACAAAACCCAACAACAATAAATGGTTTGAAGTCCTAACATGTAATATTAAATTCAGCTATTCCAACTCATTCAACCCTCCTGACACCTTTTTAGATAACTGTTTATACTACCATAATGTCAGCTATTTAAAGTTAGGTTTAAGAAAAAAAAGTGGTATGTTTTGGAGGAAGAGAGGTGAAGTGCTACTCTTGACCTTATGAGGAGATTAAAAGGCTGTCAAGATAGTCAGCAAACAGGTGAAAACTAGATAACTGATTTAAAACCATTCTATGTTATTGAGAACAGGGGCCCTGTTAAAAGACTAAGCATAGCCTGAATTGACATTGAGAATCAGCTACCTTCTCACTATTAGAGTTGGTCCTCTTCAGGCCAGTAAGGAGGTAGAGAGAATGGCAGGCTACACTACAACCTCACTAGGTATTTTTGCTACACAGTAATTGTCCAATATCTTTCTTTGCATGAAATGGCAAAGAGAGGAACCACAGAATACTCTACACAAAGAAGGCCACATGGCAGGAATAAATAAAGTCTTTGTCTATTTAACTTGAATCAAGCCCCTTAAAAAACACCTCCCAAATCTGTGCTAACCAATGAAGTATATTATTCATTCCCCTTCTCTTTCCATTTCTTTAAGACCACATTTTGATGGGTCATGTATTTCTTTTTCCCCAAATACCCTTTTCTGCCCAATTTAATATCTACTGACTGCTGTGTTAATTGTACCAGTTTAACCACAGTACCAGGAGGCAATATGCATCTGCCTCAACAGCACTGTGAGGGAACGAAAGCATGTCCCAATCCAAGTATGCTAGGTACTCTCTCTCATAAGTCAACTTATTTCCATTAATAAAGACTGACTTTGGCAGAATGTGCACAGACTGTAACTTAGTGTAGTCAAAACAAAGCCTTCTGCATATTTATTTCAAGAGTTTTATGCTAATTTGAGACTTACCATTGCAAAATGGATTTGAGGGGTTAAAATTTAATGGAAACTCATGTGACACCTGTCAACACATGAAAGAGATGTTCAGGTCTTACACATACCCAATTCTTTATAGGCAGTTTTAGTTTGCCTATGTTGTGCACATAAACATTTGGTTACCTGAAAGGAAGGAGGAATTTGTGCACCAAATCCAAAGGCTGGAAACATCTTATCTCTGAAAAAAATCAATTTAAGAAAAATTTAAATGATTGTTTTCTTTTAAAAGCTGTGCATAGTTCATAACACGTTAGCTAATCAGCACCTCCTTTCATCTTGAATGTAGCGGTTTATTAGGAACCAACAGCCAAAGTTAATTTCCCTATGTAAAAGGTGTAAAAGCTAGAAGAAATGCTTTATTTCCAAATCAGCTAGAAAACTAACTTATTGAAAAACATATCATGGGCATACAGAGCTGAAAAACTCTGCTGGATTGTTTTACACAGGACAGGCAACTGCCACAAGGTCATTTTAGTTCTCAGAACTGTGGTGGTTTCGTTGTCTTCAGCTCTACAGATCAGGGATTGTGGAAACACGAAGGAACAGGGGGTACTCGAGCTGGAGGATTCTGGGTCCCATCAAGGGACTATCACCCAGGTCTATGACGGAAGGGATAAAACCTTCCAATCTCAGGCCATGGACAGGTGTTACATCTGTGTTGAGAGAAAAGCCCTTTCTCTCAACACAAAAAGGAAACACAGCCATTCAAGGGATTTCTTGTGGAAGATGTCATGACCCAAAAGGCATGATTGTGTGCGTGTGCTTCGGCACCAGAATTATCCCCGTCAAGTTGCAGAGCATTGCACGGGAGTTTCCTGTAGCAGAGGAAACCCCAGTGCAGGGACCAGTTCCCCGCCTTTTCTGCAGCTTCTTTTGCAGGGTGCATTGCTCAAGTTGCAAGAGGAATGCACGGTGCAAAAGAGTTCCCGCCACCGGTATGCAGATTCGTTCCCCGTGATTGGCTAGTGCTAAATTATTCACACGTGGTGGCTAACGATTGGCTTGTTAGCCGCATAAGAGGCTTGAGCGGTTTCCGCCCAAGCCGAAGAGGACTCCACATCCATCTCATGGGGACTCTGGGTACACGGCAGGGTAATAGAAACCCTGTGTAAGATCCAGAGGAGCGTGGCGGCCTGATCCACTGCCCACCTCTTCCCGTCTTCGAACACAACTTTTATAAGACGTATTTACGATTCCTATTTTGGTGGCTCGTTCACCCAGAGCATCTGGAGCTCTGCACCGTGGAGCCTAGCAACCTCCACGAGACCGTCTGTGTTGTCTGTCTGTAAGTGCAACTTAATCAAGCTTTCCAGCCTACACCACTGCCATCTCGGTGTAAGTAAACAATCTTTTAAACTACCGCTACGCATCCGTGCCTAATTCCAGCTCGAAGGCCTTCCCTCTCCGCCCCGGCGTGCCCGGGCTGCTGGCCACAGCCCGCGTGCAGCGCGAAAAGGGCTCGGGTCGCTCCCGGCCCGCACAGAAGAGAACTGGGTCTTTAGCAAGAAAGTTAGATCAGATACCTACAAATGAAATCTCCTTCTACCCAATCCATCTTGAATAACCATATGCTTCTCCTGGGTGCTGAAGACACCCAATATCCCAGTATTCTGCTCTCTCTCCCTCAAAGGAAACAGAAGGGAGAGCCAGAGGCAAGCTGTCAGGAGGCTCTGCCTTAGGAAATTCCTCCTTTCTCTTTCCAAACATTGGATGGGCCTTCCCACCTCCACACTCCTCCAGGTACAGAGCAAGGGGCAGCTGTGGTAAGCTTCTGTGAGTTGGGACTCCAGGAGCTGGACTACATGCAGGTGTTTAAAAGCTAACAGGAGTTGAGAGGCTCTCTCCAATATTACTTCCCCATGCCTCTGGTTTTTCAAACACCTGTGTGCAGCCAAACTGTTTTTTAGTTCTGGGACTGCCCTGAGGTGATTGGTGGGATGGCAGCAGTGGGGAGGGAGCATTCTCCTGTGGTCATCAGTGGCAACTGCTGTTTTCAACTCCTGGGCTATTTTTGTAGCGGTAGGAATATTACAGTAACTCTTACTACTAGAATGAATGCCTGTTCATGACCTTAGTGTACTACTACAAGGTCCTGTGCCCCACTGGCTTGGCGACTGGCTGCAGGTGGACCCTGGGTGCCCCCCCAGATCCTGGAGGCACCAGTCACCGACCCAGGGGGCAGGGCACAGGTCCACTTCCAGGTCTGCTGCTGAGCTCGCTGCGGAGCCCCCCGTGCTCCTGTGGGACACTCCATCTACCCCACCATTGCAGTGCTGACGAGCTGCCTGGTACCTTGAGTTATGTAGAAAAAACATTTAAAGTTGTCTCCAAGTCCATATCATCGATCATCTTCAAGATCGTTTCAGGCTGGACATAAGGAAGAATTTCTTTACTGTCCGAGCCCCCAAGGTCTGGAACAGCCTGCCACCGGAGGTGGTTCAAGCGCCTTCATTGAACACCTTCAAGATGAAACTGGATGCTTATCTTGCTGGGATCCTATGACCCCAGCCGACTTCCTGCCCTTTGGGCGGGGGGCTGGACTCGATGATCTTCCGAGGTCCCTTCCAGCCCTGATGTCTATGAAATCGAATTTTTCTGAATCTCTCTGAATTGATTTGGAGGGTTCCGATTCAATTTGGAGAGACTAAAGAGTCTCCTGATTTGATTCAGATTCGGAGACTCAGCCACCAAATTAGGCCAAATCTCCGCTGAATTGAATCAGCGACCAAAGCTTCATGCAGCCCTAGTTAACAAGCTACTTCTTGTCCTTGCACTGGCAGGACATTGGCAGTGCCCTCATTTTCCTACTTTTCTGGTCACACATTAAGGTATTTTTTGCTGTTTTCAGGCACTGTCTGGTAGCTATGGGTGAGGATTGCTCATGCAGTTAAGAACAGGTTAGACAAATACTTCCACAAATCAACTTAGGGAGGATCCTATGTTGAGCAGGGGTTGGATTAGATGACCACCTGAGGTCTCTTCCAGATCTACTTTTCTATGATTCCATTCAATGGTTCAAATTATTTCCATTGGTATTTATTAATAAAGACTGACTTTAGGAGGATGCCCACAGACAGTAGCCTATCAAAAGATCTGACCTTCAGCACAACATTATATTAGTAAAGACTCAAGACCAGGAAAACAAAAATAGCCTAACTTCCACAGTTCCTTAAGTCTCCCAGTGTGAAGCTCATAACTGTGCATCTGTCCATAAAGCTCACCACAGAGCAGAAACCATTGTCATATCTGTACACATTGTTGATACTTAAAGTAATCTCTACGGTGCCATCTACTGGCTGCTTCAAAGAATGCTAGAGAGCTAAACTGAAAATTTTGCATCTCCCTCTAGAAGAGACACCAGCCAGATACCAGTCCATGCATAGGTGCCAACTTTGGTTTCTGCCAGTGGACGCTTATAGATGTTAGTAACGAAAAATGGTGCTTTAAACTTGGGGCATTTCTGCCGAGGAACTGAACTTGGGTGTTAAACTCAGGTGCATTAAACTCAGGCACCTTAGTGAGACTGACTAAATCAGCTATTAGATAAAAGCGCCAAAAAGCCCTGCTGAAGCACCCAATCTTTACAGCCACTGCAGAGCCAGGTTGAAGTAACATGCTGCTTCTTCCAGTAAAGCACGGTTTTTTGTCTTTTTTTTTTTTTTTTTTAAACCATCTGCAAGCAGTTCAGACCTAACATGTAAAACCAAAACAGCTATGGCTTGTGGGTGCTGAGCACCTACTAATTTTTTAGGGTGGGTGCTTGAGCCCTGGAGCACCCACAGCGTTGGAGCCTACAAGTCCATGTTTAGCACGTGGTGGTCAGATGAAGTAACCGAAACAGACTATTCCCCACATCCTCCATCTATCCCAGAGGCTGGAAGCTCATTCAAAGAGAGAGGAGTGCATAAAATGCAGGGAAAATACCATGGGCAACTGGTGCCTCCTGAGTCAGGGGGGCACATGCCCCCCCAGCAGCCAGTCAGAGACAGTTGGGGGGGGGGGTGCACTGTCAGGGGGTGCACCAGCGCTGTCAGGAGGTACACGTGCACCCCCTGTGTGTCACCACTGGAAAATACAAAAAGATGGTTATGCTCCATTTCCACTACATTCAGCTATAAGACTTTCATTCTGGCACGCTGGCTGTCATACATATGGATCCTGGTTCTCACACGCATTAGAGAACAAGACAAATTATAACTTACGTATCATAGTCCTGAACAACCATTCCCACGGACCAAATGGCTGACAGGTATTCATTAACTCCATTAGGGCTAAGGTAATGCAGGGAATCTGGGGAGCGAGGGTCACCATTGGAGCCTGTAAAATCTATTCCCACCTGTCAAATGAAGAATTAGCAGTGAGAGCTACTCCTGAGTTTCCAATTTCATGCAAAAGTAAACTGAAAACAAAGCAAACAGTAAGAGAGCTTTGACAGCAGTGCTTTCTATCACATTTAAACATCTACCAAACACCATATTCACACTTAACTCTTTTTGAAACACTGAACATATGTTGTTGACATTTGCCCTGCTTAAACAACATGAAAGAACTGAGTCCCCAGGGCAAGCTTCCTCCATTAGCTCCTGGTTCATATTAAATTTTGACCAAAAGTGCTTACCATCCCTTCAGTGGGTAGGAATCAAGTGTATAGCCTCAACCTTTTCCCCCCAACACATACGATCTTAACCCTTATTAACACTCAACCTGGTCACAGAGTTCTCCCTGGGGCAGGGAAGAGGGAAGCTCCTGGGCTGGAGAAATCTTACCTGCTGTAACTTAAATAGCTTCAGGTGAGATCCTACATTAAGGCCCAGAGGCATTGCTCAGGCTGTGGAAAAGGCCCTTGAAGCTATATTTAATGGGGGATCTAAGGGCTCTTTGATCCTCTACTCCAAGATGTAAAGAATGGGCATTTATACACACACTTTTTTGTGCTGTGACGCACCAGAGATTAATCGAGTCTGCTCCACATGCGAGCTGATGTGCACCGTGCTGCATTGCTTGCAGTTGTGTAAGCGGATAAACATGCATCAGTGTGGAAAAAATGGCAGCGGTGTGCTTTTGAATGAACACACCTTTGATGCGTTTTAGTTCAGAGGTGGGCTGCTGCCATTTTCTGTGCACATTTTGCCCCTTATACAACTGAATGCGTTGTAGTGCCAGGTGCTCTTCATGTGTAACAATGCCCAATGTGTTAAGCCTGTGCCAGGAACCTGAATGCTTTTCCTTTGGTCTCCGTCTACTCAGCTGTATTGAACTCCTACTAGGCACAACTAATATGAACCTTTCAGATCTCTACAAGTAATGGATGAACACACAGACACACATGACAGTCTCTTATATTTTGTCCATATGCTACAAGAATAAAGTAGTTAAATACAGTAAATGATCAATCCATACCACAGCTTGTTCCGAATACAAAAAAAAAAAAGAAAAATCAAAAGCAACTTTGTATTTGTGATGTATTTTACTTACAGTGAAATTCAGCTGACATCCTCCCATGATGTAATCAAGGAATGTGCATTCCATTATAACCTAAAAGGAAACATTTAAAATAGATTAACATTTTATTTAACAATTTAGAGAAACTAAAGAGGTTGATAAGGTGATCACTGAATTTCTTGAGAAATCAGATTTCTTCCCCACACACAGGTAGTACTGCACAAGTAGTCCCATTTCACTGCTTTTTCATAGAACAAGATGCTATGCACTTAGTGCATCAGAACCAGGCCCTTTATACTTAAATATAAATAAGACTTGGATATAAGGAGAAAATTTTTATGATAAATGTGTTTACTTAAAATATAAAGACCGTTTGTAGAGGTGCTCATCACTTTCTAAACTGTGTTAACTGACACACATTGCACAGTTTGAATCAAATTTCAATTTGAATTAAGAGTTAGATGATCACTGACCATCACAGAGTTTTTCGTGCACTTTGGCAGTAGAGACTGCAAAGGGCACTGGACACTGCCCACCAATCAGGGCCACAAAACTGTGCTCACTTGCTGCAGCTGGTGGTGGGCACAAGCAACAAGCCCTAGATACCTACCACATATACAGGTTAATTAATACAGTTTAAATTGCCTAGTTTGGACTGCCCTAGTCTGCATTAACTTTAATCCTCATTCAATGAGGAATAATTCATTCAGACTGGAACCCATTTTAATTCAGACTACAGGGGTCCATGTGTTTATAGTGGCGGCTGTAGTCCGGATTAAACCTAGAAAAATGTAATGTTTATAAACGGCCAAAGTTACTAGTCAACATACAGTAACTTACGGTAAAAGCCAGGATTCTTGGTGACTTTGTATTTAAGGGAATGTCATTTACCAGTTCCTTTGTCACTCAAACATACCTGCTGATATAATTTTGCAAGGCTGCTTAATTTCCTAAAGTGATTATGCTGAGCATGTGTTAAAAGGTGCTGAGTACCTGCAGTTCCCATCAAGTAAAATGCAAAGGCACTGACCACCTAATTTCAATTAAAAAGACCATATTATTGAAAATAAGGGTAATGAGATTTGATATTTTAGACAAAGACTAATCAAAAACTTTTACATAAAGGTAACTTTCAATTGCTTGCATATTCCCATATAGATGAACTCAAATCCTCTAAAACAAATTACACTATTCACCTGTACTGAATTTTCATTCAAACGGAAAGCTATAACATTTTGCTGACTTTATCATAATAATGCTTGTGCGACATTCACCACATTTTGCATGTATACTACCATCACCATATACACTCAACGATGTAGCTTTCATGACCTTTAGGAGGTGAAGACAATGCATGAGACCAGAGATAGTACCTAGATATTTGTAATTAAAAAAAAAAAATTAAAAAGCCTTAAGTGACTGACCTCACAATGTTTTACACACACAATTCCAGAGTTTCTGTAGCTTTTCTTCTTTTGTTTTTTCTTCTCATTGATGCATTCAAATTCAACCTATGTGAGTGGAAAACAAGATCACAAGCAACATTAGTACAATCCACTTACAAAGTACCCAGCCAGGACTCTCAGGTGTCTTTTCCTGACAGTAAATTACAATTAGACACACTGAAAAACCAAAACAAACCCTGCCTGCTCAAACAACAGGGAGGGGAAACCAAACCAAACCAACCACACACACACACACACACACACACACACGTGCACCCAGGTTCAATACTGTGCACATACTTCCCTCTGCTAAAATGCTGGGAAGAGCGGTAATGAGAAAAGGCAGATTCTATGATTCTGAACCCCTTGCTGGAGACCTTTGTTTCCTTTTTGATAAATTCAGGGGATACTAGATGTAGCAGTTCTAGTCACTGCAAGTGTTGCACTGTAGGGAGAGAGGTAGGTCTCAATAAGCAGGATCTGAGATGTTTAAAGATTTGAACCAACTCTTTAAAGTCTATCTTGTAATCAACAGTCATTGAAGACTGGGGAGTACTGGCATCATGCAACCAAACTAAGAAACTCTGTTGCATAAGTAAGACTCCATCCACGTTCTGCACTCACTTCAGTTACCAGAATACATAAGATCCTAAGAAGTGTCATACTGAGACAGATCAATGGTACATCTAGCTCAGTATCCGGCCTCCGACAGTGGCAGGAGTGGATGCTATACAGAAAGAGTAGTGAACCAGATCTTTAGAGATAGATCCTAGGGCTGTGCAAAGCTTTGGTAGCCAATCTGATTCGGAAGAGATTCGGTTCGATTTGGGGACTGAATCTCCGAATCTGAATCAAATCGGGAGACCAAGTAAAAACTATGAAGCAATTCAAAGCATCTGAATAGATTCAGAAAAGCTTTGGAAATAGATTCGGCCGATTTGGAGATTTGGTTATAAACTAAACAGACAGCTGACAGCTGCTTCCAGCTGGTAAGTCTGTTGGGGTTGGGGGAAGGGGGAGGGAAAGGGCATGGGGGAGGGAGGGATTGAGACTGGGACAAGCTGCCTAGCGGGGGGGAGCAGGGGCTCTGCCCTGCTGCTGCTTGCCCAGCCATGGCGGGGGGGGGGG